AAGTACCGGTGAGAAAAGTGGTTCCAAAAAAACTGGGTTAAAGATGAAACCATGAGTAGGACTGATATTAAGGAGGTAGGTAGAAGACCATGAAGGAAACTGAAAGAATGGTATAAGTAAAATTAGGAGAGGATGGTGTCAAGAAAACCAAGGTAACAGAGTTTCAAGAGTGTGATATGTTAAATGCGTAGATGTGACAAAATCACTTAAAAATGTTCAATAAATTTGGCAAATAGAAATCATTAGTGATTTGGTTGGAGAAGCTTTAGTGGCAGAGGCAAAATTTAGAATGTTGTTCAGGAATGATGAGTTCAGGAATGATGCATCAACAAGAGAGATGGCAAAATACAGCCCATCTTTTCCCCTACCCCTTTAGGAAAGAATGTAAAGACAATGGAGGTTATAAGCTGAGCAGGTGACATTGTGATTAGTGTCAAATGACACACAGGGGTAAAGAACAGTTCCAAACTGAGTAATAGATACATTCAGTCATTAAATCATAAGCACTCGAGACTCCCTTCATTAACTCTCCTACAGCTCGCCAAAGCTCATCTCGGTGATTTTAAAGATATTCCCCAGCTTCTAAACCATACTTTCCGTAGATTGTTTTAATTTAACCAGGCAATTTAGTTTACATTAATATGCTGCTTAGCATGAGTAAACAACTAAGATTCAGCCAAGACCCTGCTATTATGGTTATAAATTATATAATGTAGAGCTTAAATAAATAAGGCTTTGTCACTTTTTAGTTTAAAAGAATAGCCACATATATGTACTAAAAGAACTGAAAGTACCTGAGAATCTGAGGCATAGCTGAGAATTAGGATAAAGTCTCATTTGAACTATTGTAATAACTTAACAATTATTCAAGACATCCCTGGAACCAACAGGATAGGCAATAAAAGATTTAAATTTTAATTGTCTTCATGCCATTTTCTTTTTTTTTTTTTTTTTTTGAGATGGAATCTCACTCTGTCACCCAGGCTGGAGTGCAGCAGTACAATCACGGGTCACTACAACTTCCATTCCCTGTGTTCAAGCAATCCTCCCCCCTCAGCCTCCCGAGTAGCTGGGATTACAGGCGCACACCACAACACCTGGCTAATTTTTGTATTTTTAGTAGAGATAGGGTTTCACCATATTGGTCAGGCTGGTCTCAAACTCCTGACCTCAAGTGATTGGCTCACCTCAGCCTCCCAGCATGCTGGGATTACAGGTGTGAGCTACTGCATCCGTCATGCCACTCTCTTGAAGATGAATTTTATCCTTGCCATTCTTTCCATCATCGTTGATTAATTCCCTCGATATATA